AAAGCTCAAATGACAAAATAGAAATCACTCTTGCAAGGAAATAACAAATGAATAAATAAATCCAACAAAGAAATGGCTCAATAATAGCATAGATGCCTCACAGCAAGAGATTTCCTGGTTTTAGTTCTTGGGGGAACCAGAACCTTTCTATATGGAGTCTGCATGTTCTACCTGGGTCTTTGTGGGTTCTCTCCGGTTCTCCAGCTTCCTCCTATTGTCCAAAAACCTGCATGTTGGGGGAACTGGACCCCAAGGAAGGATGACTGTCAAAATAAAACAGGACGTGACAAGAGAACATGAACATAAAACATAACTAAACTCAAGGTGTTTTTTTAGACATGACACAGAGTCGACCTACCTCTGGCTTGTTGTCAGCAGGGATAGGCTCCACCCCCCTGTGACCCCCATGATAAGCAGTATAGAAAATGGATGGATGGGTTTGATCAGAGAATTTCTCAGTGATGGATGTGATGTGAACAACATGTTTGTGTTTGCAGAGGTCAGAGCCACAGACAGAGAGCAGAGTATCCTGAATCCGACTGTGTGTCTGTGAAGAGTGACCGGTCCATGGATAAACCTCCAGGCCTCAGAGATGGACCTGGACCCTCAGACACAAAGTAAGATGTATAAGATGTATGTTTCTATGTTTCCTCTTTAAAAGTCTCCCAGTGAGATTCTGTTATCACTCCATGAGTATTTGTCCTGTGTTTTTCTTCCTGTAATTTTTTTCTCCTTGCTGTTCTTTCATAGAGACCATCCTAGTTTAATGTAAAGATGACAGGCTCACTATGAAATGTCATCCTCAAGAATGAAGTTTCATTACATAAAATGTTGAATGTAGAGCGACAGCAGTGGTTTCCATAACAATATAAGTCTCCATAGTCTCCAAATAATCCAAACATTTAATAAAAAGTTAAATGCTGCTGCAGGAAGGGCGGCAGGGAAGTTTCTGTTCACACCAGAGGCAGAAACAGCAGCTCTGGCTCTGCTGGAACCATGTTAGTGATGGAGAAATGTGTTCACAGAGGGAGGCTGAGGAGTGGTGTTTGTGAGGAGGAGCAGCTGTCCAGCTGTGCTTTGTGTCAGGACGTCCTGAAGGATCCAGTCTCTACCAGCTGTGGACACCAGTTCTGCAGACAGTGCAGCACTTCATACTGGGACCAGTCTGCCTCATCAGTGGACCCCCCCCTGTCCCCAGTGTGGAGAAAGAACCAGAACTGAAGCAGGTCAGATATTTCTGTTACTACTTGATGCATAATGGGAGCTTTGCCTGCTGTGGCTTTAATAACTATTTGTACTTCTTTATATATATATATATATATGTGTGTAGAGAGAGAGAGAGAGAGAGATTTTTTATTTTATTTTAACAATACATAGATTCAAAGATTTTAAAAGTTACAAATAACTGTCATAAATGCCAATCAGTAAAACAGGATTTATAGAAAACAAATGAACCTAGCACACCTCCAAAAAAAAGTTCTTCATTTACATGCCAACACAGAACATTTTTGTGACATCACAATCTGGAAAAGCGTTCCAGGTCCTTCATAATCCGATAGTAATTAGAATCAGATGGGCTTTCACCATCTTTATAAACATGAGCACAGCATTATCATCCACAGCTTTTTCTATTCTGTTTTTTCTGCTCATTTAAATAGCCATCTTTGCTCTTCCCAGAATGAAATATAAAAACTGGCATTTAGGTTTTTTTCCTTTTGAGAGTACCTGTACCCCAAAATGAACATGTTTTTAGAAAAAACGTCTCAAAAGAATCCCAATAACTGTTCTTACATGGTAAACAGTGGCAGCAAACGAGAACAATCCAAGAAACAATGAAACACAGTCTCGCGATTATTGCAGCATTCCTAGCTAACGTCAGAGTTAATAATAGAAATAAAAGCATTCACAGCCACAATCCCATGTAAAATCCTCCACTGCAGGTCAGCTACTCGTTTGATCAATGGTGGTTATTACAGCGCTCTCCACTCAGGCCCAACACTGTCACTAAGACCTAACTGAGCTCTCCATGGAGTATCAGCTCTGCAAAAAGCTCTGCAACTTGTCCCTTTGCAAAATCTTAACAAAACTTTTATACATTACCTTACTGTTTATATCTTTAAAAGAAACCTCAGATCTAATTTTTTAAAAACCAACGCAGTTTTTAAAATCTGGGGAAATATTTACTGAAGGGAAAACATCATTCTCATCAGGTGCAACAGATCCAACACAATAAAGATGCAACATAGTCCGCTCACTAGCAGTGAGGGCTTCTCTCCATTTACTAAGCAGAAGGGCAATAACACGAGTCGAGTACACATCCAGTTGGGAGGCCAGAGGAGCTGCATCGTCCAAGCCTGCTCCTGCAAGCTGGACTACATGTTCCAGATTCACCACATTAGCGAGACAGAACCGCCTGAGTAGAGTTAGCCCCACCTGACAAACTGCACTGAACCGCGACCCATAAATGACCGGTTCCTGAAGCAGCCAGTATAGTGAGCTGTGGTGTCCCAGCCTCCTCTTCAACATCATATTCCACACCTTGAACAGTCCATGGTAGAAAGCAGGAAGTTCTTTGATGTTAGGCTGCTTTAAGTCCATCAAAAACAACGATTTGTTGAGTCCAAGTCCACCTCACCGATTCAGGATAGCGCAAGCCAACGGCTTCCACACCAAATCAGTTGGACCACACAGAAACCTCTGTATGAACCGGAACCGGAAAGCCGCCCCCCTACTAGTGAGGTGGATCAGGCCCTGTCTTCCATCGTCCTTTGACAAATACAGCACACTCTGCGGACCCAGTACAATTTTCCCTAGAAAAAGTCAACAAGGGGAGCCTGGATCTTTGACAGTAGGTCAGGTGGGGGGTCAATACATGACAGGTGATGCCATAATGTGGACAAAACCAAATTATTAACAACTAACACTCTGTAAGACATCTTTGCCAGAATCCATTTCCACCATGTCAAACGACCTTATTATCCAGAACATTTTCCCAGTTTTTCAAGACAAAAGATTGATTGCCCAGAAAAACTCCTAAATATTTAAACCCCCCCTTCTTCCAAATTAACCCACCAGGCAGTCTTAGTTGTTTCCCCCGGTCGCCACCAACACACAGAGCTTCACTTTTGTGCCAGTTAACTTTGGCTAAGGACAAGGAGCCAAACTGAGCTACATCTCTCACCAACATGCCAATGTCCTTATGAGCATTCACCAGGATGACTAGGTTATCTGCATAGGCTTCAAAGGTGAATTGCAACCTGGAATGACCAAACCCTGAAGGTCACGTCTCAGTTTATGTAGCAATGGTTCAAAAGCTAAAGAATATAACATGCCAGAGAGGGCACACCCTTGCCTAATTCCCCTTTGGACCTGAAAAGGAGCGCTCAAACCACCATTAATTTTTAGTACACTCTGAATGTCACAGTATAAAACCTTAACTTTGTCAATAAAACCAGTACCAAAGCCAAAAGCACTCAAAGTGAGCCAGAAGTAATCAAGTTCAACATGATCAAAGGCTTTTTCTTGATAAATAGTTATGATCCCAGCTTTCAGGCCAGAGATCTCCCAGATTAGCCAACATCCATGTTGGCTACATGCTGAAAACGGGACATAACGAGAGCCCCCTGAGCCCTAATTGAACCCTCTAAGGCTTTTCGTGACGTTCTGCGTGTACTGCTGACAAAACTGTCTAATTAGAACTTTTCCAACATCCCACCATAGCTGTAGAGAGATAAAATCAGTTTTTGTGTTCTGATGATTTTTACAAAAAAAGCCAAATGTATCTTTAAAATGCTTATCCTCCAATAGAGCTGTGTTAAAATGCCAATAAGCGCTACCGGCTTTTACACACCTTATAAAGACAGAGACTGTAACAAGTGAGTGATCAGAAAAACCAACAGGGGTGATTAAACACCCTTTAGAAATGATTAAATGATGCTTAAAACAATAAAAACGATCGAGTCTGGCCATAGACAATAAGTTATCTTTAGCGTGAGTCCAGGTGTATTGCCGTTATCACCATGTAAAACTCCCCACACGTCACACAGCTCCTGGGCTTTCAGAAACTGAATAAGGCGTGTGCGAGAGGCGGCATGAGGTTCTTCATGGTTCCTGTCTAACCTGCTGTCCTCAGTACAATTAAAATCACCTCCAATAAATAATTATTCCTCACTGCTACATTTCTCAATAACTTTATTCAAAGCGTCTGGGAACACGACCCTCTCCACTCACACAACTGGAGCATAGATAGTAATAAATACCATTTTTACTTTCTCATACACAGCTCTTACTTTTAACAAACGGCCTTTAATGACCTCCTCAGATTCCATAGACTGAGGAATTAAATTTTTGGCAAAGAGAATTCCATCTCCGCCACTGCTACTGGTCTTATGACTTAAGAAGGACTCACCAGTCCATTCTCTCCCCCAGTCTGCCTCATTATCAGCAGTCCTTTGTCTCCTGTACAAAAATAACATCTAACTTTTTAAGAGAGCACGAATTAAAAAGAGAAGCCCTTTTCCAATCATCCCTTGCCCCATTTAAGTTTAGACTGCCTATATGTATGTCCCTCATAACATAGAGATGTAATAGTGACACAGAAACAAAAGAGCCAAACAACAGAAGAAAGGAAGGATTCTGAACCTCATTCATGATCTTCTAACTGTTTTTCAATACGGTAGGTTTCCTGGTCAGTGAAAGCTTTCTCTCCCAGGACTCAGAAAAACCTTCACTGAATCAAGGAATAGCTGCAAATCAGGAAACACTTTGTCCACTCTAACATTTCTAGCTCCCTTGGTGTCCTGTAAAAAACTCTTGATACTGGTTAAAGAGTAGCCACTCTTCTTGTGAGTCCATGTCTGTGAGGAGGCCAGAGACTCCACATCACTCTCTTCATCACCTTCCCTTTCACCTGACTGCTGACACTCACTATGAGGAAAAATGTTCTTGACTTTACAAGCGGATTGACACTCTTCATTTGGTTTCCTCTTTTTAGTGTCATTAAAAAAATCCTTGTGTATGAGCATCTTGGCTTCCTCCTCCAGTGAAAATCTTACCTGCCTTGTTTCAGACTGTGTGGAAATGCTGTCGATGTGGGACTGCTCACAGGCTCCTACCACTGAATCAGAAAGACAGCCTCAGAACCAGCAGCACCCAAGTCCCTGGTATCCAGACTAGGATCTCCTGGGCCATCAGAAACTACCACAGTAGTACTTGAATTAGCAGAAACATCAGGTCCCGGAGTACCTTTAGCAGAAGTGGCTGCCTCCTGATGCCCCTCCTGCTGTGTTCCCTGTGTGTTCCCCTCCTGTGAACTCGGAGGATGTTCCAAAACTGCTGATGCAGTTTGACTGTTGTTGGCCTTAGCATTCTGTTTTTGTGGACAGGAGCGGATAATACGGCCCTCCATTCCACAGCCAAAGAACTTCATTCTCTCTGAAGAAACATAAACAGTGTAATCAAAATTATCCACTCTAAACTTCAACATTAAATTTAGCTCCTCAGTGTTATTTTTCAAGACCATGAAAACCTGTCGTCTAAAGGAAACAACATGTTTAAGATGCGGTGACATTAAGCGTCCGTGTCTCGCCAGTTCTCTCTCTAGCGCTTCATTACTGAGAAACTGAGGAACTTGGGACAGGATTATCTTTTTGGCCGGGTTCACTAGTGGCACCCCCTGAACAAAGGTGTCCTGAAGGACCACACCTTGCTCTACAACTACAATGACTTTCTCAACACTATCCAGAAATATGACAACTCCATTGTTCATTCTAGAAGAAGATTTCATGCATCTCCGACAAAAAACATTTATAAAAGTCTGCAGGGATACCATCTAGGCCTGGGGCTTTACCACTCTCCATACCCTGAATGGCCCTCTCCAGTTCCTCCAGTGTCAGGGTGGCATCAAGCTCGGCAAAGGACTCAATTGAAATTTGTGGCAGATCACCCAGAAAAAGGCTGTCAGACCTCCCATCCCCAAGTTCGCTCCTGTATAGGTCCTGGTAAAACTGAGAAACTCTGTTCCGAATATCACAATCACCAATTAATAAAGTTCCTGATTCAGATTTCAAAGAATGGATACATTTTTTCTGACCATTTTTTTTCTCCAGACTAAAAAATAATTTTGAAGCAACATCCATCTGTTCCACACTCCGAAACCGTGAACGGACTAAAGCCCCCTTAGCATTAATTCCTAGCAGTTCAGCTTAAGTATTCTTTTTTTT